TGAGAGGCCGGCAAGTGAGGCGGGGAACGTTGGAGTCTGCAGCAAGCAAGCCTCGTGCTCGCTTCAGTGCCTGGCTGCCGGCCGCCATCTTGGCTGACAGTTAATTTGCATATACTCACTGATTAGCCAATGAAAAGGGTAGCGGTCGTACGCCAATTACCATGTTTCTCTTTTATTAGTGTAGATAATACTTAGTGTGGTAATGGTATAGGGAGACAAACAGACCAATGAAACAGACTATGTAGCCAAACACAAACCTACACATATGGGCAAATGTGAAATGTGACACAGGTGGGCTGAATGGCAGGTCACTGGGGAAAGGATAGATTCCTGGCAATCAGAATAGGACAATTTAGTGGTCTCCTGCCATCCATTACCATACTATTTCCATACCCATCCAGTTGGCAGTAAAAACACTGGGGAGGATGTGAAGCAGGGGTGACTCCCATGGCAGGAGTGTAGCACTGAAAATACCGACCAAAAAATAGGTGTCTCCCCAAAAAAATGTATACACACTTCGAACGATTATAAACTCAGTGTTTATTAACATAGAGTTCATTTGAAAAATGTAAAAGAATCTACAGAAATAAATATTTTTTTTGTTAATGCTTATTTCAAACTGATGACCGGTCTGGTCCAGGCACTGCTGATAATGCAAAGCAATAGAATTGCAAACATCAAGAATCATTTTGTTTGTTATTTGCGTGCCTTCAATGTGATTGTTGCTGGTTTTGTACCATAAACTCTATCTTTTATGTATCCACATAAAAAATGTTTGGTGGCACTTTAGGATACATTTTCTTTGTTCATAGTCTGACTTCACCCATTATTTCAAATCAGTTTACCTGAAAAGAAGTGAAAATTAAGTGCTTTACCAGCTGTTAAAGTGTGTATACACTTTTTGGGACATCCTATATATGTACATTCTAGAGAGATTGGAAAAAGTCAAACTGACTAACTTTTTAAAGAAAATATAAGAAATCATCTTATGTTTTCAGAGAAGAATTTTCTTAAACAAGAGAATAAAAGCAATAATCATAAAGATAGAGAATAATATATTGAAATAAATTAAAACCTTTCTGAATTACAAAGGACAAAATAAAGTAACAAATCAAGAACAATGTAGAGCAGCGATTCTCAACCTGTGGGTTGCGACCCCTTTGGGGGTCAAAGGACCCTTTCACAGAAGTCGCCAAGACCATCGGAAAACACATATATAATTACATATTGTTTTTGTGATTAATCACTATGCTTTAATTATGTTCAATTTGTAACAATGAAATTGGGGGTCACCACAACATCAGGAACTGTATTAAAAGGTCGCGGCATTAGGAAGGTTGAGAACCACTGATGTAGAGAAACACATTTGCAACACAAGCAATCAGGATTAATGTTAAGAATTTACCTTTAAAAACCCTTATAAATCAGAAAGAAAAATGGAAAAGAGGGAGAAAGAATGAGGATTCTCCCTCTTCAGATTATGAGCAGGCAATTCACAAAGAAAACATAAATGGCCAATAAGCATGTCAAAAGATGGTAAACTTTACTAATGATTAGAGAAATGTAAATCAAAACTCTGGAGTTACCATTTCCACACTCATCAGACTGACAATAATGAAAAACTCTACCAGTGTGGGCAAGGATGCGGAGCGGGGTCATTCCCACACACGCCTGGCAGGAGTGCAAACTGGAACTGCTGCCTTGGCGCCCCTGGCACAGCCAGGACAGCCCTCCTCAGGGACACTGCTTCCTGTGTGCACAAGAAGAACTAACTGCATGAAAATCTTCACGGCAGCATTCTTTGAAATAGCGGAGAACTTAAAGATCCAACGGTATGAGAATGGACAAGTAAATCATGATGCATTCCATCGAATTTATGCAGCAGTGAAAATAATGAGGAACAAATACTAACATGCAAAAGTCTCATAAAAATAATATTAAGCAAAAAAATAAGCAAATTGCAATATGATGCAAGTAACACAACACCTCACTAATATGTAGAAGACCCATAGAACAGTGTGTACATTATTATGATTATATGATGCCTAGAAATGGAACACACTCTAATCAGAATTGCTGTTACACCTGGGATAAGAGGGGAAGGAAGAAAAATCAGATCATAGATAAAGGGGGTTTCAGTGCTGTCTGTAAGATTTTATAAAATATATAAATCCAAAGTAAATATGGCAAAACAGTATTTTCCAAAGCTGGGTGTAACATGTGTTATGCTGAATTATTTTAAAAATTGTTGAAACATTTAAAATAAAAACATTAGATATATAAAAACATGAACTCCACCCCAGAGAACATTACAAAATAAGTTAGTGAAGAACTTTCACATGGTCTAAACAGCTTGACTTCAATATTGTGTTATAAATATACATGGAAATATGATAAAGTGGTAGTTGGTCATAATGAGTCAATTTAATAACTGCCCTTTCTTTCTCCAAATTGTCTACAATGCACCAACATTATTTCAATAACCAGAAAGAATATTTGAAACTTGAATTTGCAACCCATGCCTTAAATTCTAAGAGGATTCTAAGAGCAGCCCCAATGGCACCAGGCTGGTAGGTCTACAAGGCTCCAGGTGACGGCTGGATTTCACTGGAATATTTCGTCGTTATTATTTGCACATAGTATATGAAGCATAACAATGGCTGCCCCCTTGTCTCAGGCTAGCTCCCTGGAAAACAAGGTTACAAGCTGATTCTTTGGTGGTGGAATCCCAGGCTGAGGGAAGTTAGGCCTGGAAGGGGCAAGTCAATACAAAGCAGTTCATTAGAGAGCTGGCCGTGATCCACAAGAGCACAGGTAGCTGCTCAGACCAGGGAATGTCTCCGGACAGACTGTCCACTCCACCACACGGGGAAAGTCCATCTAGGCGGGATGGCCGAGGAGTTTATTTGCTGGCCACATCCTTGATCCGAGTTTGTCCAGGGGACATGAACTCCCTGGCACCTCCAAGTTCTGTCACCTGAAGCAGCCACATTCCACAGCCCAGCGCTTCATCGGAGTCCAGAAAGGATGGGAGGAATTGAAGCTTTGATGAGCCCAGTGCAATGGCTCTGAGTGCCAGGGTGCTCGTGGCTGCCTCCACGGCAGGTATGAGATGGTGTGCAGGAGCCGGCCCCCACCTTAGGGGAGGCAAGACAGCGGGGGCGGTGGGAGATGAAGCAGCAGCTGCAGTGGCTAAGATATCCACAGAGGAGCTGCACAGCGGGGCGGCCAAGGATGCTGAGCCAATCTGGGTGCGTTCATTGACTGAACACTGAGTCCCTGTGCCACTCAGATGCACTCACACTCTCTGTGACATCCTGTCCTCACACGCCGAGAACAGATGCCCTCACCTTTTTCCCCAAGAGGGAACGGAAGCACAAGTCAAGGTCCCTGCAAACTGTGTTTGCG